AGCAGCGGGTCCCCTCTCGCCGGCCACGCCCTGCAGCTCGCGATCCTCAGGCTGCAGCTGGGGAGCCTGTGAATGGACCAGGCAGAGAAAACTTTAGGAAGATTTTTTTTTTTAATTTTAGACTTCAAACTGGGCAGGATGACTCACGCCTGTACGTACTCCTAGCAGTCTTGAGAGCCTGAGGCAAGAGAATTGCCAAGTTCGAGTCCAGCCTAGGCAATTTAGAGACTCAAGGAGATCCTTTCTTAAAATTAAAAAAAAAAAAAGGACAAGGCACGTAACTGAGTGGGAGAGCACTTGCCTAGTGTGCGTGCGGCCCTAAATTAAAGCCCCCCCCAAAAGGGGGGACGCAGTGTAAAGGCCCTGGATTCAACCCCCAGGACCAGGAAAAAGTTTTAGACTTCTGCAGACACAGCTGCTTATTCCTCATCCTAGAAGGAAGACTCCAGTGAGTAGATGGGCGAGGATCTTGTAGTCCAGGCCAGGCCCGGGCAGGCCCAGTGTGTGAAGGGCTCGGCTTCTCCGATTGGCGAGCCCGAGCAAAATGACAGGTCCCTGCACCAACACTGTAGTTCTCTCGCGGACACTCACTCTACAGAAATCCCACGTCCAAAACGGACAACTACGCTTCATAGAGGTGTCGGAAATAGCAAAAAGACCTGCAGAGACATCCATAAGCTTGATGTGTAAAGGTCCCAAAGTTAATAATATCCTAGGACCTCGGGGCGGCAGAGCTCCACGGCCTCTCCTCACCTCTGTCTGGAGGCAGAAAAGCAGCCCCGAAAGGTAGCAAGGAAATGAGCCTGAGGTGGCTGCGGAGGGACAAGGGGCAGAAGCTGGACCTTGAGGGCCTCTTGCTGGTCATGACAAGCTTTTCACTAACTGATTCTTTTTATAAAAATCGCCTTTGAAGGGCTGGGGGTTTAGCTCAGTGGTACCTCACCTGCCTTGCAAGTGCAAAGTCCTAAATTCAATCCCCAGTACCACACACAAAAAAAAATCGCCTGTGAGTATTGTCTGTTTAGGAAGAAATAACTTGAGTACTCGTGTTCCAATCACACTAACAAAAATGAAAGAACAGAAGAGAAGGAAGCTGCACGCTGGCTGGAGGTCCTTTTTAAAACTTCCTCCCAGCATTCTGGGAGGCTGAGGCAGGAGGATTCCAAGTTCCAACCCAGCTTGGGCAATTTTGGAATTGGGCAAGACCCTGTCTCAAAATAAAAACCAAGCTCAAGGGCAGGAGTTTGATCCCCGGTACCAAAAATAAATACATAAATAAATACATCAAAAAAGTGCTGGGGATGTAGCTCAGCCCAAAGGCCCTGGGTTCAATCCCTAGGACTGCAAATAAACTATTTGGAAAAGACCACATGTGATCAACTCAACAGAAAAAGCATTTCATAATACGCAACAGTCCTTCCTGACAAAACACTCAAGGCATTAGGAATAAAAGGGAACTTCCTTGACCAGATAAGAAAATACCTGTGAAAAGCCCACAGTTTACACCAAAGCCAATGGTGAAGGATCCAGTGTTTCCTGAAAATCAGGAACAAGACAAGGACTTCTGTTCTCATCACTTCTATTCATTTCTGTCCAAGAGTTTCCAACCAGGACAGTGAGGTCAGAACCGCAAAACACATCTAGACTGGAGAGGAGGAAGTAAAACTATCTCACTGTCTCTGCTTCTATTCACAGATCTTGGGTATAGAAAACCCTGAAGAAGCCACACACAAAGCAACTGTTAACGCCAATAAATGACCAAATATGGTTGCCTGCGCATACTGTAATTCCACCTACTCGGTAGGCTGAGGCAGGAGGAATCACAAGTTCAAGTACAGCCTGGGCAATTTAGGGAGACTCCACCGCAGTATAAAAGAAAATTTTAGAGGGCCAGAAATCAGGATGGTGATGAATGCCTGTAATCCTAGCACTCTAGGAGGCTGAGGCAGGAGAATCACAAGTTCCAGCCCAGCCTGGGCAGCTTAGTGACTTAGAGAGACCCTGTTTCAAAATAAAAACTAAAAAAATTTTTTAAAAAATGTTTTTAAAGTTTGGAAATGTGACTCAGTGCAGAGGCACCGGGTCAATCCTCAGTACAAAAAACAAAAAGAAAGAAAAGACAGAAACTAAACATCCAAGGAAGGGGAATTTAGCTCAGTGGTTCAGTCACCTGCCTCATAATTGCAAGGTCCAGTGTTCAATCCCTCGTACCAAGAAAAAGAAAAAGAAAAGAAACTAAACACCCATAATGTAGCAAAATTTAAAAGCTGTTTCTCTATGTCCTGTCCTCACCAAGGTCTGTGTTACATCAAAGTATGAGGCTCATTTTGGTAAAAAATGCTTTCGTATAAGAAAGTTTTGAATTTTTTCCACCCTCTCCCCCAAAAAGCTTTGGGTCCTGACATAGACAAGGGAATGTTTTTAAAAGTGGCTCTTATTTCACACAAACCTCAAGACTATAACTAACTGTACTTCCCATCTGATTCACTTTTTAACAGAGTAGCATCCACTTATCTATATCAAATCAGCAGACTGAATTTTCTCCCCTAGTAAGGTTTCAACTAGATTAGAGTCAAATTAATTTCACTGTTCTGTTTAATTTTGGACTTGGGGTGTTCTTTTGTTTTTTGCGGCAAGGTCTCCTCTGTAGTGGAGGTCGCTATGTACCCTGGGCTGGCCTAGAACTTGCAGCGATCCTCCTGCCTCGGTCTACCGCCAGTGCTAGGATTACAGGCGGCTGCCACCATGCCTGGCTTCGCTTACTTTCTTTTTCTTTGCAGTTCTGAGGATAAAACTCACATCCTCGGGCATGATTTAATCTCACTATAAAGAACGAGAAAGAAAACGAAAGACCAGGTTTGTCTTGGGATGTATAAAAGAGATGCATACTTCCTCAGCACTGGGTCAAAAAATAGCCCAGGAAGAGCAGACTGCAAGACACAGTGACCCAATCAGGCCACCAAGAAGGAGGGAGATACCAGATTCAGCCTAGAAAATAGGGTCCCTGCCCAGCCTGACTTTAACTGCAAGCAGATCTCAAATCAGTTTCCAGTCCCCTACGGGTGAGGCTGGAGCACAGGCCTGGCACAGCCAAGCCAAAGCCCTCCAGTCAGTGGGCGACTCTATGCCATGGCTGGTCAGTGTTCACAAGGTCAATGATAAAAGAACTACTCGAAAAGCATGGTGGAGCAGACGTGTAAACCCAGCACTCAAGAGGCTGAGGCAAGAGAACCAGCATGAGTTCAAGGCCAGACTAGAATACATAGCAAGTCCTTGTCTCCAAGACACCATACATGCTCGCGAGCACACTCATACACACACACACACACACACACACAGTTTAAAAGAAGTCTGATATGGTGGCACACGTGTAATCCCAGGACTTGGGAGGCTGAGGCAAGAGGTTTGCAAAAAAAAATTTTTTTTTTGTACCAGGGATCATACTCAGGATCTTGCATGCTTGCAAGACAGGCAGTGAAATCACTGAGCTAAATCCCCAGCTCAAGAGGTTTGCAAATTTAAGACCAACCTGGGATGATATAATGAAAATTTGTCTTTAAAAAAAAATGCTGAGAAGTTAGAACCACACAAACAGTGCTTATCTAGTAAACGCTAATTGAAGTTCTTGCCCAGGATAAATCATACAAAAATAAGTAATGAGGTCCCTCAAACATCAGTGCTGAGGATAACTAGAAAGCAGTGCAAAAGGACAAGCTTTACACTAGTACTTCTCAAAAATCCATTATCAGAGCACATGCTTAGTATGCGAGATGTCCTGGGTTAAATCCCCAGCACACACACACACACACACACACACACACACACACACACACAATCTTTAAATCAGTTATAGCTCCAGCTCCAGCCTCAGAGTAAGAGACTTAAAACATACTGTTCCTGGGCTGCAGGTACAGCTCAGCAGCATTCAAGGCCCTGGTTCAACCACCCGGTGTCACTGGGCCAGAGAAGCTGAAATAGGACTTAACTTATCCTTTTGCAGCAGATGAGTTAAATTCCTACTCGCTGACTCTTGTGGCACAAAAAGAATTTTCAGGACACTTCAGAAAGAAACAGCTTGTTAGATTCAAGTATGAAGTATGGATGCTCAGAAAAATGAGAGAGATTGGAATTGGGAACATTTATACTTTTCCTAAGGGGGTGGAAATCCTGGGGAAAAGGAGCTCCCCCCAAAAAGGGAAGGTCTCAGCCCGTTTCACAGGCATGGGCTGTTCTTTTGCTTTACAGATAGGTAATTTTAAACATCCCTGGATTCTCTCAGCTTTCTTCTTTCTGTTAGGGTCAATCGCTTTCTTAATTGGAAATCTCACCAGAGGAATGTTGCCAGGGGGGGAAACTTCCCCTGAGTCCTGAAGTTGCAGTCTTCTTAAAAGTACAGTTTTCAACTATCATTTCCTTGTCTCCTTTCTACCTATCTTTTATTTCTTTTATCCTACTTCACCAGTAATGCAAAAAAAATCTTTTAAATGTTTTACTTTAAAAATAAAAAACAGATGCTATACCATCCTCCTGAGCAGAGACGCAAGAACCCCTCCGCCAGCAGCCCCGGGGTTAGCGAGGGCTCCGGAAGTCAGGGTGTGCAAACACCCCAAGGCACAGGGTTACTCCTTCCCTCCCTGTGCTAGGGCATTCCTCCTGGGTGGTATGAAGCACCCGTGGTCCCAGGATGCGGCCCAGTAGGGCAGTGGAGGATCCAGAGGAGAAGTCGCCCTAGACCTCTGTGTAGCGGAAAAGTAGAGTGCTACTTGGGGCACCCTGGGCTGCTCTCTCCCTCTGCTGTCCCCACACTGCTGATCAGTCTGCTCTACGCTGAGACCTCTTCGGGCTGTATAGCCGTGCCTCTCAGCCCTGCCCATCACTCCAAACACTGAATACCTTCCTGGGTCTGTGCTGCGATCAGAGAATGCTCAATGCCACGGGTCACTTCAGCCTTCCTCACTGGGAGTTTGTCTGTGCTGTCATGGCCATTGAGAGCAGGAAATTAGGGCATGGCGGGCTGGCTGGGCAAGTGGATGTGACCAGTCAATCAGAGTCCTGGGACACACGTCCAGAACAGTGCCTAAGGCCCTGAACCTGGAACCAATCAGAGAATGCTATCTTCAATTCTCAGGAGAATGCAAGCAGGTTTTTGTTTTCTGGGGTTTTGTTTTTTTGGCGGGGGCTGTTTTGTGGGTTTGTTGGTTTGTATGTTTTTGGTACCGGGGATTAAACTCGGGACCTTGCACTTGAGAGGCAGGCACCAGAACCACTGAGCTAAATCCCCGGCCCTCAAGCAGGTTTTTTATAAGATGGCCCAGACCTGACCTCAGCCTGAGGAGTGGGAGATATAAAAGATGTCTGCTATTGAGCTCTTGGATGCTGTGTTCTCTTTCACAGTGATCCATTCTCACCCTGTAGAGTATACTTTTCCTTTTAGTTGTCCCACACTCTTCTTTTCCTACCTTTTTTGGGGGGAGGGGTACTAGAAATCGAACTCGGGTCCTTGCACTTGCAAGGCAGGCTTCCTACCTTTAATAAATGTAAACCCTTGCTACCTTTCGCACTTGTTTTGTCCAATTGTTTGTTCAGGACAAGAACCTAGAAAGGAGCTCTAGGAGCCCCCAGAACCCCAGAACCTGGTCCCTCTGTGCTCTACCTTGGTGAGGTACTGATACCTCTGCTGTGGAATTGCTGGCTTTCCAACAATGTTGCCTGTGTCCAGTGGAGGAAGAGTCATGGACATAGGGTCCTCGAGGACCCATCGCCGCAGTGTGCCCATCCTGATGAGCAAGGACATCTTGCCTAGACATCCACCAGACACAAGAGCAGGCACCCCAGGTTGACCAGAAGCCATTGCAAGACAAAGATCTGGGTACTTTTCCTGCATAGAATTCAGAGCTAAGTCTCTGCCACCACAGTGAAAGGATGGGACAACTCCGCTGACAGACAGATGTTCATATGAATGTTGTCTGGCTGCTGGAATTATCAAACTCCCCAGGAAGAGCCCTCCACAGGCTCTGTTCTCTTCTGCTGTGGGCTACCTGTGGCCCAGACTGTGGCACAAGAGTGGTTCAGAGAAGCCAGGTCTCCCAAGAGGATGTGGCACCAACCAGACCCAAGCCATGGTGACAACACAGAAGGTCTCATGCCAACCAGGAGGCACTCTTGATTGTATTTTGTATACTAGAAATAATCCATTGTAACTAAGAAAATATTCCAGCCAGGAAAAGGTGATATTTGTTCTTTTTGACAATTACATGGTACTGAGAAGCTTTTGAATAGAACACTTTGCTAAATGAGAAAAAAATTTCCATTTACAATAGGATTAAAAAATAAAATACTAGGGTCTGGGATTTAGCTCAGTGGTTCCGCTGCCTTCCTCACAAGCGAAAGGACCCAAGTTCGGTCCCTGGTATCCAAAAAAAAATAATAATAATAAATTAATAAATACATAAAATACTTAGGAATAAATTTAACAAAAAAGCCTGGGGTGGCACCTGTAATCCCAGCTCTCTGAGAATCTGAGGCAGGAGGATAGAAAATTTAGGCACAGCCTGGGTAATTTAGAGAGACTCTGTCTCAAGATAAAAATTTTAAAAGGGCAGGGGATGTAGCTAGGTACAAAGGCCCTGGGTTCAATCTCCAGTACTGAAAAAAAAAAAATCACCAAAGAAGTATGAAACTTGTACATTAAAACAATGATTAAAAGAAATTAAAGACTTAGATGATGAAGTCATCCTTTACTATTAGGTTGAAATGGCGATATTCTGCAAATTCAAGTACAGAGTCAATATAATTGCTGTCAAAATTTCAGCTTTCTCTTTTTTGCAGAAATGAACAAATTGATCCTAAAATTCAAATGGAAGCTGGGCGTGGTGGCACATGCCATGGAGGCAGGAGGATCGCTGTGAGTTCGAGACCAGCCTGTGAGTTCCAGGTCAGTCTCAACTATATAGTAAGACCCTGTCTCAAAAAGAAAAAAACTAAAATTCATATGGAAATATAAAGGACCCAGAATAACCAACATAATCTTCTTTTAAAAGTTTAGATGAGGGCCAGGGACTTAGCACAGTGGTTCTGCTGCCTGACTCATAAGAGCCAGGTCCCTGGCACAAAAAAAAAAAGTTTAGATGACTAACATTTCCTTATTTCAAAACATACTACAAAGCTACAGTAGTCAAGACTAATGAATACAGACATTATAACAGACATATAAAATCAGTGGAAAACAGGATGGAGTCCAGAAATTCTACAGTCACTGATTTTTTTAATGCTTTATTTCTGTTTGATTTTTTCCTGCACACTTTTTTTATAGCATATTTATTGGTACATGATTTTTAACAGGGCAACAAGAAAATTCAATGTGGAAAAGGACAGTCTCTTCTAGCATAATTTGTGCTAGAACTGGATAGCCACTTGGAAAAGAATGAGGTTGGTTCCCTACCTCACAGTCTATAGATGAATTAACTCAAAACAAATCAAAGATCTAAATGTAGTCGCTAAAACCATAAAACTCTTTTTTTCTTTTTAGGGTACTGAAGATAGTATCTAGGGCCTTCACCCTGAGCTGTATCCCAAAACCCCTTTTTATTTTTAGACAGGGTCTGGCCAAGTTGCCCAGGCTGGGCTCAAATTTATAATCTTCCTGCCTCAGCCTCCCAGAGTGCAGGGATTACCAGAGTGTACCAACTGGCCTAGCTCCATATAGAAGAAGACATTAATCTTCTTGGCCTTAGATTGGGTAAGTGTTTCTTAGATATGACACTCCAAACACAATTGATGAAAATGGGGGGGGCGCGTATAAATACATAACGTTTTTTTGTTTTATGGTACTGGGAATTGGACCCAGAGCCTCACACATGCTAGGCAGATACACACTGAGCTACTTTTCCAGCACTTATTTTATTTTGAAACAAAGTCTCACTGATTTGCTAGGCTAGCCTTGAATTTGCGAATCCTTCTGCCCTCAGCCTTCTGAGTAGCTGGGATCACGGCTGGGACCACCACACCCAGTTGAAAGAGGAAATGTTTAGATGGTGGAATTGTTCTGTATGACACTGGAGTGGTGGTGGATGATGCTATGTAACCACCAAAACCCACAACTTTATAGCACAAGGTCAATTTTTTTTTTGTTGGTTTTTTTTTGTTTGTTTGTTTTGTTTTGTTTTTTGAGACAGGGTCTCACTATGTAGTTGAGACTGACCTGGAAACCAGGCTGGTCTCGAACTCACAGCAATCCTCTTGCCTCATCCTCCCAAGTGCCGGGATTACAGGCATGCGCCACCACTCCTGGCACAAAGTAAATTTTAACCTGTGTGAATTTGTAAAAAACCAACCAAGAGGTTGGAGGACCCCAGACTGTGACAGAAGAATCTAGCTGTATTGCAAATGTCTGACCTAGCTTCCCTGAAAGTACCTTACCTGAGGAGAAAAGAATTGACGTACTGATGGGGAGACAGCACCAGCGACCGGAAATCCTAAGGAGCTGTGCCGTCTCGCTGTACTCATCAGTGAAGGCAGCGCCGATGGCAAAGCTGGTAGGCTGGACGTAGGGAGGGACAAACAGGTCAACAGAGGGCTGAAGGAGAACCGAGTTACCAGCTGTCAGAGAAGGAAGGTATAACTTAGGAAGGGGAAGCTAGACCAATCCATATGGCCCGGATGAGTCAGGGGAGTCCAACTTTGGTACAGAAACACTGATACCGTGTGGTAAATGTGGTGAGAAACCTGTATGTTTCCTAGCTGTGTCTGCAGAGAGGACCTAGAGGCAGGACACCCCAGTAGCAGTGAGCACCCCAGGTCTCTAATCCTATTCCCCAACAAGAACTAGATTATTTGGATGAACCGCTAATTAATTGCAGGGCTAGAGCCAGGAAAATATAAGATAAGCCTGGAGCTTTTAACAACAGAGAGTAAGATGGTTTTCAGAGACAAAAGGATGGCAGGGGGTGTGTTCAGTGAGAGAGCCCTTGCCTAATGTGTGCAAGGGTCTGGATTCAATCCCCCTGAAAAGGAGGGTGGGGTAGAGGTAAGGGGAATGAGGGTACATCAAAGGGCACAAGAGCTAACCTGAAAGGATTCTCCATTATCAAAACTGGAAAAACAAGCTGGGAGTGGTGGTGCACGCCTCTAATCTCAGCACTCTGGGAGGCTGAGGCAGGAAGCTCACAAATAGGAGCCTAGTCTGGGCATTTAGTGCAAAGGGCTTGAGCTTAATCCCCAGTACAAAAAAAAAAAAAAAAAAAAAAAAAAAAGACATCAGCAAAATAATGTAATATTGGATTATAACCCAAAGAATAAAATATATAAATAGCTCTGGGTCCACTCTGGTTTAAATAAATAATTGAATGAAAGAAAAAAAATGGGGAAGAAGAGACAAGCAGATCACTGACAGAGATCTTCCCTGGCTCTGTGCATGGACCTCACTTGGTAACTCGCTGCCAAAGAGCAGAGTATGGAAAAGGTGGCAGTGACCCCTCGACCAAGGGCCAAGATGAACCTCAGTGAGGTGATGACAGCAGGGACCCCAGTGTTGTATGAAGAGAATGGCACTTTCTCTCTGTGGGCTTCCTCCTGAGAACCCAGAACCCCAGTCTAGGAAAACAATCCAGAAACCCAGACTGAGGGCCCTTTCACAAATTAGCACGCCAGGGCTCCCCCAAACAGTCAAGGTCGTCACAAGTAGGGCAAGAAGTTGTTGCAGGCCAGAGGAGACGCAATGACCACACCCCACGAGATTCTGCTGGAAAATGGGAACAGAAGAAGCATTTGTGCAAAACTGGAGACATCTAAATAAAACACAAAGGTCAGTCAACAAGAAGGTGCTCACTCCGGTTTCTGAGTTTCGACAAATGTGCTAGGTAACGCCAGATATTCGCAGTGGGGAAGACTGGAGCACTGAACTCTCTTGACAAGTTTTTTCTAGTTTTAATAATGTTTTTGGGGTGCTGAGGACAGAACCCAGGGAGTTTCACATAGTAGGACAGTGTTCTGCCCCTGAGTTATACCATCTGCTCTTTTGCAAGTTTTCTTTCCTTCTTTCTGTCTTCCTTCCTTCCTTCCTTTCTTTCTTTTTCTTTCCTTCTTTCTTTCTTTCTTTTTTTTTTTTTTTTTTTTTTTGCTGGGATCAAATTTTTTTTTTTTTTTTTGGGGGTTTTTTTTTTTTTTTTTTTTTTGCTGGGATCAAATTTTTTTTTTTTTTTTTGGGGGTTTTTTTTTTTTTTTTTTTTTTGAGATAGACTCTCACTATCTAATTCAGGTTGATCCTGAACTTGTTATGTAGCATGGGCTGGCCTCAAACCTGCAGCAATCCTCCTGCCTCAGCCTCTGTAGTGCTGGGATCACAAGCGTATACCATCATCCCTGGCTCCTTTTGACACAATTCTAAAATTTCATACTTTCTTGGGGGCTGCTGTGAATGGAACCCAGGGGCTCACACAGGCTAAGATGCTCTTTACCACTCACCTACACCCCAGTCTATAAAATTTATTTTTTAAAAAATGCTCTTGAGAAGGACACATCCTGGCTAAGTAACAAAGAGGACAAAGGCCAACATCACTGAATAGAAAAGAGGCCTCAGAGTCAGACAGGCCAGGCCTGGCAGTGCTTTTGTTTGAGTCCTTATTCTGCCTACACCAAGCAGGTACTTAGGCAAGATCTTCTACCTCTCTCTGAGTCTCAGTTTTCACATCTATAAAATGGGGTATTAATTATGCTTTCCTGATGGTTTTTAATGTGGGTCTAATATTAACATGTTTGTACCTATCTTTTGGTTAACATATACCTACTACCTGTTGGAATTTACCCGGGATTGCTGAACTGTAAGCCCTGTACCTACACCTGTAGAAGATACTGCCAGTGTTCCAATGTTGTTTACTTCTCCAGTGGGTTTTGTTTTGTTTTGTTTTTTCATTTTGGTACCGGGGATCGAACTTGGGTCCTGTGCTTGCAAGGCAGGCAGCAGAACCACTGAACTAAATCCCCGGCCCCTTCTAATGGGTTTTATGTGGGTTTGTTTTTCTGCATATAGATTAAAAATCTGTGGGTTTCTTTATTTTGTTTTGTTTTTACTTGCAGTACTAGGGATTGAACCTAGGGCTTTTGCAATGAGCTAGATCCTGGACCCTTTTGTTATTTTTAATGTTGAGACAGAATCTCTCTAAATTTCCCAGGCTGAACTCAAACTTTAGATCCCAGCCTCTTGAGTAGCTAGAATTATAGTCCTATGACACTGTAACTGGCAAAATCTACGCTCTTTACCATTCATTCAGTAAACAGAAGGTTAAGTAAAAGAAACCAGGCACAAAGGTGTGCATGACCTGTAACTCTGTATATACAAAGGGCAAAGTCAATCTGTGTGGTGCACACTTGCAGTCCTAGTGCTCTGGGAGACTGAAGCAAGAGCACCAAAAATGAGAGCCCAACTTAGGCAACTTAGAAACATAACAAGACCCAGCCTCAAAAAATAAAAAAGGGATAAGGATATAGTTCAGTGCAAAGCCCTAGGTTCAATCTCCAGCGCCTACCACCATCGAAGTCAAACAAGAAAATCAGTGGCTTAGAAGTTGACATAGCAGCTACTCAAAGAGGAGGGCTGGTGACTGGTGTTAGCTAGCTACACAGCTGTGCACTTTGTGAAAATTTACCAAGCTGTGCACTTAGGGTCTGTTTCATGTTTTTGCTGCTACTTGCTGTTTACTTGTTTTTGTGGGGCCAGGGCCTCACACACGCACCCCAGGGAAGCGCTCAGGTTCTCTCGTAACGTTTTGCACACATGATGCACTTTGTGAAAAGTTGACATCTTAAGAAATTCCACTGAAGGGCTTTAAGAATAGGGGCAGTAGGAGAATCACAAGTTCCACAGCCTGGGCAACTTAGCAAGACATTGTCTCAAAATAAAAGAAAAGGCTGAGTATGCAGCTCAGTGTAAAGGCCTCGGATACAACCTGCAGTACTGCAAAAAATAAAAAGGATGATTCAGGCTACAGTGTGTGGAACATGGGGACACAGTGGGGCAGGGACCAGGTAGGAGGTTGGCACAACGGTCCAGGAGAGAGGCAATGGCTCCTCAGACTGGAGGGAAAGGAATGGGGTTGGGAAAAAGAGAAATTCCACACATATTCTGGAAGTTCAATGAGCAGGACAGATGGTGAAGAGGATGTGTGAGGTAGGCAAGTGGGAAAGTGAGACTGCCACCCGCGTCCTGGCCGGAGCAACCAAGTAAGCAGAATGCATTGAAATTAACTGCCTATTGTCTACCTTTCTCACCTGAACCGGGTGGTCTTCTTGTCTTTGGGAATGGACACGGGTCTCCAGCACAAAGGAAGTGCCACTCAAGTCATTGAAGGAATGGAACGGCTGCCCCCTTTGCAGACTCAGAGCCAGGAGTGGATGTGAGAGAACAGCAGATGGAGGGCAGGGGTGTAGCTCAGGGTTAGGGTGCTGGCCGAACGGGGATGAGGCCCCGGATGTGATCCTGGGGCTGGGAGAAAGTCAGACAGACAGGAAAGTAGATGAGTCCGGGACAAGGACGCTCTCTCCCATCATGGGTGGAGCTCTGCGTGCCTTGGCGTGGGGTGGAGCTGCGGTTATGGGGGCAAGCTTGGGCTGGCCCGGATTTAAGCTAAGAGCTGTGTCCTGAGAGGACAGTGAGGACCCACGACCTCAGAGGTCTACCCATCTCCAGGATTCCTGAACTAGGGTGGGCAGGGTGGGCAGAGGCCCAGCAACCCCAAACACTGCTCCCTCACACCCCACACGCATGCCACGCCCCGAGCCAGGCACTCTGGGCACACATCAGCGGCTGCTGCAAACATCCCAGCCCAGGATCAAACAACCCCCCTTTGTTCCCCAGCCAGAGGCCAAGGGCCAGAGGCCAGGCTGGGAATAAACATGCCTCAGTCTAAAACTGTTTTCTCGTAGGTCAGAATCTGAGTGAGCCTCCTTTAGTGACTTTCCATACCTGGGGGAGTACTCTGTTTACCTGTGCTCTACTCTCATGCCTGGGCTCCTCCTTCAGCCCTGACTCAATTTCCCGTCTTTGAATGCCTACAGCCCCAACACTTGGAACTGGTGCCCAGTGTCCACTCACAGCTGAGACCTGCCCTGTGTGCTTTACATCCCATGTGCCTGCTACCCTGAGACTTTCAGCCGAGTGTGGTCCAGAAAGATTTAGAGACTGGACCTGTATTTGAATCCCAACTCCATGCCTTAACTGCCCAGTGACTTTGCCAGGCATCTGCTTGTGTACATTTATTTTATTTCTTTAAAAGTAGTCTTCTTGGGCCAGGGATTAGCTAGCTCAGTGGCACCTTGCCTGCCTCACAAGCCCAAGGTCCTGAGTTTGATCTCTGGTACCAAAAAAAAAGTGCAGAGGTGTATGGCCGTAATCCCAGCACCCTGGGAGGCTGAGGCAGGAGGATCGCAGGTTTGAGTCCAGCCTGAGAAACAGTGACTTAGCAAGACCCGCTGTCAGTAATAATAATGATGATGACGATGATGATAAAGGCTGGGGACTTAGCTCAGTGGGAAGGCCCTGGGTTCAATCCTCAGTACTGCAAGGAGAGAGAAAGAGAGAGACAGAGACAGATTGAGAGATAGAA